TCTCTCTCTCTCTCTCTCTCTCTCTCTCTCTCTCTCTCTCTCTCTCTCTCTCTCTCTCTCTCTCTCTCTCTCTCTCTCTCTCTCTCTTTGTGCGCAGGTCGGGACTCAAAGGGGAGGAGGACACTTCCAGGTAGATCGGCCACCCGCGTACGCGTGGAGCGGCCGACCTATCTATCTCCACCCAGGGGGACGGGTCCGGCGCCGCGTTAGGTGGATGCTACGGAAAAGAGACGGAGAAAGGGAATTGAGCGCATCCTTCTGCGACAGTATTCGTCGAGTTTTGCATGGAGTTAGGTTTCGTCCCGACGGACGGAAGCGCGAGCCGTGACCCAAACTCGAACCTCATCCCCGGGCATCACAACATGCTTCCGCCTTTCCCGATCGCAGATGACGATGGTGTATACTGCCATGCTGACGTGTGGAGCCTTCTGCGGTGCACGGAGCCAATCCATCTTTATAACCCGACCTAGGCGTGCCACATAGGAGGGAGTGGGCTTGTGCTGATTGAGCGATTTGCTTCCTTGCCTCTGATCTTGCCATACACCGACCTCACGGTGCTGCCCTGGTCTGTCGTGCACTCCATTTGGCAACTGCGTTTCAGGTGTCACTGGTGTCGCCAGGGACTATGTTCCCCCCTGGCCGCGACCGAGTTCGGTCTAGGCCGCGGATGCCGGCCGTGGCCGGGACCCCCTCGGCCACGATCGCTCTGGCTGAGAACTTTCGGCCGCGGCCATGGCCGATCGGGGAGGGGGTTTTGGGAGCGGGGAGCGGGTTTCGGGTGGGGGGGGTGGAGGGGCACCCCCTCAAAGTGGCAGACCGTCAAAAAAATAAAAAACGGGGGGTCCTAAACATGGGCCTGGCAGGGTGGGCCGGGAAAGTTTGTGCGTCCCCCGAGTTGCGGTTCGTCGACGAAGGTGCGCAGTGAGGAGGGTCAGCAACACAAGAAAAATAAAATAAAAATTTGCGGCTCCTGCGTGGACGGCTTAACGGGGGCTTGATGGGGGCTGGGTTGGGGCGTGGGGGTCGGGTGGGGGCTGGGCGGGGGTGCGGATGGCAGACCAGAGGAAGGTCAGGCAGGCATCAATTTCATTCGTGAGGCCAGTGAAAGTTCGTAAAAGTTTTTGAAACAACACATTCATTAGCATATCATCCATATTTCACATACCAAATTCACGACACATTCACAATGTGGGCAACCATAACATGCATGTCTGTGTTCATTCGTGAGGCTGGTGAAAGTTCATGAAACAACACATTCCTTAACATATCATCCCTTTTTGGCATACAAAATTCACAACACATTCACAATGGGGCCAACCATGACATGCATGTGTGTGGCATCGAACAAAGACACGATTTGCAACATTGCGACAACAATACCCGCTGTATCGGGGACATTTACGACAACAAACTGGAAAGTTCATAAACCACTTAGCAAACAACAGCGACTCACATGCAAAAGCGAGGGTAGAAGAGGAGCGTGGAGAAGTACAAAGCAGTGAAAAAACACTCCACTAAAAATGCGTATGTACATGTCCGAAGCCGAAAACCGGACCCGTCATTTGAACCGTAACTCACAGAGTAGCTAACAAAAAAGTAATGTGATCGTACCATCCGTCACTGTGGACCTGGCGCTGCACATCGAGCAACAACATCAACATAACTATGAAACTACCCTATCAACAGAACGTCCTACCAAAAAAAAAAAAAAAAAAAAAAAAAAAAAAAAAA